TGGAAATACTTCTAAAAAATTATAATCTTGACTAATAAAATATTTTGTGTCACAAATTTCTGCAATTTTATACATGAATAATCATTTAATTTTTGGCTCCATTGCCAAAGAATCTTTCAATAATTTTGTACCACAGAATAAATAAATGTTTTCCTCCTGGAAAAAAAAAGGAAAAAGTACAGTCATCAGAATGTGAATTTGAATTTAAGATTTCACATGTCTTTAATCCCAGCTCTCAGGAGGCAGAGGCAGGTAGATACCTCTCTGTGGGATGGAGGCCAGCCTGGTCTACATAGTGAGTTCCAGGCCAGTTGGGATTACAGGGAGACCCTGTCTCAAAAAAAACAAAAAATGAGGCCGGGCATGGTGGCACATGCCTTTAATCCCAGCACTTGGGAGGCAGAGGCAGGCGGATCCCTGTGAGTTCGAGGCCAGCCTGGTCTACATAGTGTATTCCAGGACAGCTGGGCCTTCAGGGAGACACTGTCTCAAGAAGACAAAAAAAAAAAAGGGTGTGTGTGTGTGTGTGTGTATTTTTATGTTTTTTAATGTAGTATTCATGTAGGATATGCTTTATTAGGCAAATCTTAGAATTTGTGTTAGGATTTAAGATTTACTATATACCTAATATATAAATTGGGTAAGTTTCAGAATTCCAATTTTTAACAATGTTTGAGATTCAGAGGTTCAGTAAATAACATCCATCTTTTCAGCACCTGAACAAAACTGAAAAATACCACCTGAAAATAAAGGAAATTAGACTATTTTTATTAATAGTATAGTTACAATGTGGCCTTAATTTCACTTTAATTTACTTAATACTAAACCACATAATCAAGTAGTAACTGACTACAGTTTTCCCCAAGTTTGCTTTTTATTAAAAATGCAGAGGAGAATATATATTATATTCAGTGAGTAGGTCTAGGCATGCTAAACTACATCTCATTCTAGAACATACCAATTAATTAATCTACTTCTTCCTTAGAAAGGGATGAGTGCAAAGATGAATTTGCTAGTAGGTTAAGTTTCTTGTACATAGAAGGAAACGTGAAGATTAAGATTTTTATGTTTCTCTTTTATTTCTTTACCTGTTTGTCTCCTGATTATAACTTTAAGCTTAATGCTGTCATCTTAAATGTTTGTCTTTCAATGAGCTTTGGTGCCAACACTAAGTATTCTTCCTTTGGAAATCTTTCTAGGAATTAATGTTACCGCAGTTTAAAGTTGGCCTCATAAAGACTCTGAAATTAGTCAGGCTAGTGCATTAATTAAAATTAAATCCAGCCACATACATTCTAATAAAGAGAACTACTAAAAGTCAGTAGTAAATAATACAGTCCAACTGGACATGGCAGCTCATGCCTGTGATCCCAGCACCTTGGAGGCAGATGCAGAAGAATGACGGGGCCAGCTTGGCTTAAAAGGGGGGCGGGGTGGGGGTACGACAACAACCACAAACTGGACAAAAGCCATGACCTAACATTTCACTAAAGAAGATGGCACATTAAGCATGCCCCCCCAAAAACCAAACAAACAAAAAATTCTCAACACCCTTAGCCACTAGGGTAAAGTAAATACAGAGTAAAACCACATTGAAGTGCCTCTGCAGTCCTGTCAAAATGGCTAAAATTAAATAGGTGATAGCACCAGATGCTGGGGAGCTGTAGAGAAAACTGGATTACTGGTGCATTTTTGGTGGCAACATAAAATGATACAGATAGCCTGCAAAATTGTTTTGTACTTTATTGAAATCCTAAATACACATCTGACGTATAACCCATCAGTTGCAACTGGGGAATTCTGTTTTATTAGCATATATTAATCAGACATAATTATAACATTTCCATACATGTATGTAATTATTTTGATCCTTTCCACGCCTCCCATTACCTTCTGATGCCCCCTCCTGTCTCTCCCATTCTGCCTTCTTTCCAAATATTTTCCATATGGTCTGGAGGGATATCGCAGCCGTTAAAGGCTAAGGCTAACAACTAAATATTTTCCATTCTACTTTTATGTTCTTGTTTTTGTTTGTTTTGGTTACCTAGTGAGTTTGTTTATGGTTACTTGCATGAGCATAACTGAGGGGTAATTTACAAGAATGTGGACAACTAAAATGTCTCTTCACTCAGAAACCTTTAATTACTAAAAGCTTTTCAGGGAGAGATTGAGACCTCATCAGCTTTCTCTTCCCAAGCTACCATCAGTTACCTCTAAGTCTTCAGGGATTGTTGGGACTTCATGAGCTCCTATCCCATCCATCACAAAATGTTGAGCGGCCCATTCTTTTGAAGGTAGTGGCAGTGGCTTTGAGTTCCTCAGTGCAGTGGCCATATCATGCTGGGGGTCTATAACTCTTCTCCCGTTCCTGTGGCTCTCACATTCTTTCTACCACCTACCTCCCCTATCTTCCACCATGTTCACTGGGCCTTTAGTTGCCTTGGGTTGGTGCCTGAGCTAGATCGTTTCCGGTTCTTTGCACCTTATTGAAAGAATTGAAATAAAGGTACACAGATTGCAAAATAGCAAGGAAAGTATTCAAAAGCAAAGTAATAGCACAGATATGCTACAAGTGAGCAGTTGTCCAACTGAGACAATATACTTAAGGGCCCTCTTATGTTTTGAGGTCAGTGATGATGATTGTTACGGAGAGAGAAACGCATTACATTGTTTTGGAATGATGTATATGGGGTTCCTAGGTTGCTAATTGCATTGTTAGGAAAGGGATGTGTGTGCATAGTATGTACAGGTGAGGGTTGATAGATGTGTTAGGGGAGAGGTGTGTGTGTACAGTTTAAGCCAAGTGGAGTCCCAGGTCGTTAAGCTAGAAAACTGATTGCCTACTTAACTTTGAAGGGATGATTAGATGTCCCATTTAGGGCTGAGCATTCAGTAGTCACTATTCTCAGCACTTGGACCAGTAGTGAGTCTCTGGATTAATTGCTGCCCACAGCATAAATAAGCTCACTCAAGCTGAAATCAGTACTAATCTATGGCATATACATACATATTTAGAAGGTAATTGGACGAGCACGACATGTCTGTTTGACAAAACAAAAATGGTAGCCTCCCTTCTAGGCCTTTGACTCGACAGCCAAGTTCACAGTGCCAGGCATGAATTCCCTCTTGTAGATCAGACCTCCAGTTCAATTAGGAAGTAGTCATGCCACTTGTCAATTAGGAAGTAGTCATGCCATCTTGTCTGGCAAGTCAGTAGTGTAGCTCACAGAGTTCATAGCTAGGTACGACTCCTGATAACTTTCTTCCCAGCAGCCTGCATAGCACCTTCTGGCATTATGAAAGCCAGCCAGGAGGGGACCTTCCCCCTCAGTTCCAGCTTGTCATTTCTGTGTGGTGTCATCAGCAGTAGGTTCTTACCAGCAGGTTCTGATGAACAATCAGGACCTTGACAGTGATCCTAAAGAAATATAAACTCATTTTTATGCAACATCCTTTACAGAACTTTTGGCAGTCTTACTTGTAATAGCCAAAAACGAGGGGAACAGACACAGATTTCTCATCAGTGAGTACAGGGTTAAACAAATTGTGGTATATCCAACTCTAATGAGGAGTAACTTAGATAAATCTTGAGGGACTGAGGCCTAATGAAAATAATCCTGAAGTTGTATGCTTTTGGATTCCATTTATGGAAAGTTTGAAATGATAAATGTTAGAGGGATAGAGAACAAATTAGTGACTGGAATTGGGAGGAGGGAGAGATGAGGTTCACGAAAGAAGTTGATGTGATAGTAAAAGGGCGAAACAAGACACCTTTGTGCTGATGGAAATGCACTGTTCTTGGTTGGTGTAATAATATACAAAACTACACAGGATGAATTTGCATTGGATATACATAGATAAGTAGCAATAACACTGGAGAAGTTTGAAGACCAGGGGTTTATATCAATGTCAGCATCATGGTTTTGATACTGTACTGTAGTTTTGCAAGAGTATTGTATTAGCTCCCTTCCAATTATGAAATCTCTTGGGAAAAATTAAAGCTCAAAGATAAAATTCCCTTGCAACTCAAAGCTTTCAAGTTAAAGTAAAAATATAAATCTCTAGATCTGTGAGTTGGGTTTCATGAACTTAAAATTCAAAATTAATACTCCATAATTTTTTTCTAACGTTCAGTTTCACCTTGCTGTCTGTAATAAAGCAGGTTTTTTGAGTAGTAGAGCTTGACCTGTGCTACTGGAAGAAATGTGTGCTCTAGGAGTTGCCGGTTCAACTTTAATATAGCACAGGGCATATCCTATATCTTAAAGCAGTTGTCTTGATACAACTCTTCTTAGAAACTAGTACTTGATTTGATTTACATTTACCACAGCAGAAAAAGGAAAAAAAAAAAATTATTTTATTTGTATGAGTGATTTTTGTGCACCCTGTGGCAGTCAGAAGAAGGAATTGGATCCCCTGTAATTGGAGTTATAGGTGGTTTTTAACTACCATGTTGGTGCTGGCAACTGAACCTGGTCCTCTGCAAGAGCAGTCAGTGCTCTTAACTGCTGAGCCATCTCTCCAGCCCCAGAAACAGGAAAGAAGAAAACAAAAAAAATTCTTCTAGTTTCCAGCCATCTAGTGCTAGCTGTCTTCAGCCTACTACTTTTTTAAAAACAATATTTTATATATTTTTATTTTATGTGTATGCATTTATTGCCTGCATGTAGGTAAGTGTACCTGTGTCGTGCAATGCCTGCAGAGGACAGAAGAGGTTGTGGGATGCCCCAGGACTGGAGTTACAGACAGTTGCTAGCTGCCATTTGGATGCTGGGATTCGAACCTGGGTCTTCTGCAAGAACAGTCAGTGTTCTTAACCACTGAGCCATCTCTCCAGCCCCAGCCTAATACTTTAAATTTGGGAATCTTTACCATGTGTTCTATCTGGTGGGAAAATCTCAGGACAATAATTGTTATCTTAATACCTAACATTCCTTTTAGGGGGAAATGGGCTGTAAAATTGTCTATTAATGTGTCCGGCTTTTAATACTGTGTTTTAGTCGACAAGAAGAATGGAGAACTGCAAAGGGAGAAGAAGAAGTAAAGACTTACAGGTCAGAGGAGAAAAGGAAGCACTTAACTGTTGCAAAAGAGAATAAAATCCTTACCATCTCAAAGGTAAACATTAATTTGATGTTTAACATTTTGAGAGTATGACTTTTATGGCTCTTGGCGAACACCTGTAATCCCAGCGCTCACGAGGCAGAGGCAGGCGGATCTCTGAGTTCAAGGCCAGCCTGGTCTACATAGTGAGTTCCAGGACAGCTGGGGCCACAGGGAGACTCTGTCTCAAAAAGACCAAGAAAAAAAGTTAATATTCATGAAAAAATTTTAAAATTGCTATAGCTTCTGATTATCTGTGTGAATTATCTATTGTTTACCGATTAAAATTGTATTTCAGCATTTCCTGCCTTCTAGCATACCTTTTCCCCAAATGCCAGGTCTTATGTATGCATTATGTTGATTGAACTATATTTATTTATTTTCTGTTTATTTCTTTCCAGTCAAGTACTTGTTATTGTTGATAATCAAGGCTGTTAATACTGCTAAAAATAATAGCTCTTACTTTCTCAAGATGAGTAGATTATCCCTACCCATTTTGTCCCTTTGGCCTCCCTTGCCATCCTTCTCTAGTATAATGTGGATTCTCCCCTTTTCCATCTTAGCTTTAAAGTTTCAGAGCCGTAGACTCTTAAGTTGAAGTCTGTAGGAAACAGCTTTTTAAGCAAACCATTGAGCAATGTGCTAAACTGTCAAACTCCCCCCAAGCCCACCAGGCTTGGGTCTTCAACAAAAGACACTCAGGCATAAGTCTGAAGTTATGTGAGAAATTTATTAAAGGGATAGTAGGTACAGAGAGGAGAGCGCTCTCTAGAAGGAAAAATGAGGAAGAAATCTACTGAGGGGTCCCACAGGTCCTTTTTATCCGATCTGGAGTTTGGGTAACCTAGGTGCATCTCCACAACAGAAGTGAAAGTGTTACTATAAACAAAAGGAGAGACAGCACGAAGGCTGAACTGAAACTAACTTTCTAGAAGACTTGATTTATCATCCAGGTACAGCCTGTCAGCTCTGACCGCTGAAGCAGAGAGCTCAGAAGCTCTTAAAGTGACACTCTCCTAATTTCCAATGCTTATGGCAAGCATGGCTCCTGACATATCCCCCTTTCTTTTTATATTTTTTAAAGATGAAGTACATGCCAAGACTTGGGATGGAACGACCATGCCTGTCTTAGGTTGTCCTCTTCCAGAGTGAAAGCCGTTGGGGGCGGCTGGCATCCTGCTTTCCTCTGAGAGAATCTTACCCATCTCTGACTAACCGGCCTCCTGAAAGCTCCCAGTGAATGGCCACGGCCTTGGGGAAGTAATGGGAAATAAATGCCACTGAGGCACAGTGTCACGGAGAAAGAAATTGAACTGCAGGACCTGAGTCTGGAACTGACATATGGCCAAATCATGTAGCATTTAAATTGTAACTTTTGGATTTGGTGTCTTGATTTCGAATTTGCTACCTACCTCAACGGGAGGTTAGGGTGCATTCTCTACCTCAATGGGAGGTTAGGCAGAGCCTAAGTCCCCCTTCCAAATGAATAAAAAGGACCCCATAGCCCAAGGGGCCAAAGGGAGGACAGAAGGGAAGAAGGATCACACACAAGAGCATAACAATGGTGCACAAAGCATGTGGGATACACAAGCAGACAAATAGGGCAGGGATGCATCATAGCCAAAGTCCAGAGACGTGGAACGGTGGGCGCCAGGCGGTGGAAACAGTTCAAACGGTCAGGCATAAAAGAGCAGGACGATGACATCAGTCGGTGCAACGCGATGACACAGGTGGTAAGGAGGCCGGAGATTCAGCCAAGCGAACGAGGCGTTCAGGTACCCAACGTGCATTGTCAGCATCCTGTGGAAAAACACAAACATGCCCTCTCCCCAAAATGAGGACAGGATCTGGTCCATGCCAGAGTCCCGTACAAGGATCCTTCCATCTGACACGGGCATAATCAGTAGAAGAAGAAGGATGCCACATTCTATCAGCTGCAGAGCGACCGTGAGCATCCAAGGTCAAGAAATTTAAAACAAAGCGTGATTTAATAAATTTTGTGGTGACTGGGCATACAGTTAACTATGTTTAATCTTTTCCAATTGTAACTTGAGAGTACCATGAGCACGTTCAATAATGCCCTGACCTTGTGGATTATATGGAATTCCTGTTTTATGTTGGATAGCAAATTGTACACAAAAATCCTGAAATGAGTGAGAAGTATACCCAGAACCATTATCAGTTTTCAAGATGTTGGGAGTTCCAAGTGCTGAAAAGCAACGAATGCAGTGAGTGATGACGTGTTTAGTCCTTTCACCAGTAAGAGCAGAGGCAAAGAGAAAACCAGAAAAGGCATCTATAGTAACATGAACATATTTTAGCCATCCAAATCCAGGAATGTGAGTAACATCCATCTGCCATAATTGATTAGGAATAAGCCCACGAGGGTTAATCCCTACATGTGGGACTTGAGAAACAGTAGGACATTGAGGACAGCAGTGAACAATATCCCGAGCAGCTTCTTGCGAGATACCAAATTGCAGCCACAAACTATTACTATTTTGATGATGTTTAGCATGGGCTTGCTGAGCAAGCTCCACATCTGAAAAGGCTACAAGTTTAGTATGATGATCAGTCAAATTATTCCCTTTAGCGAGGGGTCCAGGTAGACCAGTATGTGCTCGAATATGAGCCGCAAAGAATTTCTTTGTCCTGGCATTAATAGAAGACTGTATTTGAGTGAATAATTCATGTACTATGCTGTTAGAAGTTTTTATAACAGGAACAGTTTCCAATACACATAAGGCAGAATATACATAAAAACTATCAGTATAAAGGTTAAACTCTTGATCTGGAAATCTTTGAAAAACTAAAGCCACAGCATGAAGTTCAGCAACCTGTGCTGAGGACTGAGAGGTATGAACCACTACGGTGTTCCCATCAGCACATAGGAGGCACTTCCATTGGAAGAGCCATCTGTGAAAATCAATAAGGCATGTGGCAAGGGAACTGAGCTTGTAACTTTAGGAAATATAAGATCAGTAGTTTGACAAAACTGCAAAAGCCTATGCTTAGGATAATGATTATGAATAGAACCTGGATAATTAGCTAGGGAAATTCCCCAGGCCTCAGAAGTGTGAAACAACCAATCCACCTGAGATTTACTAAAAGGCACTATGAGTTTAGCAGATTCCTGTCCAAAATATTTAATGGATTTAGACCGCAGGTTCCTGCCCAAAATATTTAATGGATTCAGACCTGATGAGCTGAGTCAAAGTAGATATGGCTTCAAAGTATGGAAGTAAGACTTTAGCAGGGGAGACAGGCAAGTGTATCCACAATAATGGACCATCCTGCCATATAACAGCAATGGGAGTGTGTTTAGTAGCAAAGACGTAATGAGGTCTGTTTTGTACCATCCTAACCTTGCCATATGAGCACCCAGGAGGGCCTTTCCCTTTGTTGTACGTAACATTACCACGAGGGCATTGCCTCTGAAAATGTCCAGGCTGGCCACAGTTAAAACATCTTTTCTTATCTTGCTGTTGGAATAACACATCCTTCATAGATTTGTTTTGCAGAGTCTAGATACCAAATCCTGATATAATTCCTCGGGACCCTGCCTGATCTTAGCTAAGTCTTCAGTTTGCCGTCCAGCTGTTGGCAGCTTATTCCAGGCCTTTTTTGCTGCAGCACTTAGCTGTTAACAGCCTAGACACAAAATCCTGATGTAATTCCTCAGGACCCTGCCTGATCTTAGCCAAGTCTTCAGTTTGCCGTCTAGCTGTTGGCAGCTTATTCCAGGCCTTTTTTGCTGCAGCACCGGTTTGGGCATAAACAGCAATAGGGAAGTTTATTTGTTGGTCTGTCTCCCTATATTGACCTGGCTATTTGCTTCCAATCATTAGGAGCTAAAGCTTCAGTAGTCATAGATTCTAGCACAGCCTGAGTAAAAGGAGCTGTAGGCCCATATTGTGCACAGGCAGATTTAAGCTCTTTCAGAGATTTAAATGGAAATAGAATATGTGTCCTGACTCTATTACCCTGGCTGTCATCACGTTCCATAACTGGAAAGGCATGAAACTCGGACACATCCTCTCCAGCAGTAGCTGCATGCTGCAGACTTGTTTGTAATGGTGACATTAAAGGTGAAGAACTCACAGCAGAATTTTTACGCATCTGAGGAGGGCATACTCCTATAGCATGAGAAGAAGAACCTGCAATAGGTATACGTGTTACCTGAGAATCCTTTTCAGGCTGCTGCTGTGTTCTAGAGCACTGTGTTCTAGAGGAAGGAAAATTTCTTGTAAGTGCAAAGCAGAAACCTGTTCAGATAAATTACATTCCTCATTAGACTCTCCTGTGTCACAACCTGGAGGAGCAGAAGGAGCAGAAAACTGATTAATACAAGTTAACGCGCCCTTGTCAACGAGGTTTCCTTTTTCAGATCTAGAATCCAAGGAATCCCGAATGAGCGTCCAAAGACTGAAGGCATCGATGGGAACCTTCAGAGAGCCTTCAGTGTCATAAAAATCCTGCAATTCTTTTCCCAGTTTTGCCAAACATCGATATTCAAAGAGCCTTGTTCAGGAAACCAAGGGCAAACCTGTTCGGTAAATTCCAGAAAGTCATTCAACTTTTGCGAGCTCACTTTCGCACCTCTGTCCTTAAGCATATGTTTAAGCATGGAAATAAACAGCTGACGACTGTTACCTTGTCCCATATTTGTGGTAATGAAGAAGTGTCTACATAAAAGAAAATACCTAAAAGGAAAAGTTAATACAAGCAACAGTTAATAAACCAGTGCTAAGGCAAAATGTAGGTGTCGCGGACATGTGCACGGCCAGGTCTGGAAACAGACTGATCTGTAAGTAAAAATACATGTTCATATACTATACAGGTTTCCATGGCAACACTCAACAAAGGAAAGATGGACATCCCCTAGGAACAGGTAGCCAAGGATGCCAGAAACATATACAATAGTCAAGGAAACTAGGGAACCAACGGTTGAGTATCCAGGAAACCATAAACATTCGCAACCCCCAAACCCAGGTTCTAAAGAACATGTAACTGTCTGTTATACATCAACATGTACCTCAAGTAACCAGGTAACACACAGAAACATAAGCATCAAACAAAGCACCCATGGAGAAAAACAAACAACTTTGTAATTTAGAACAAACATATCTATGGAAATTTTATGACTGATATCAGTAAGCCAAATTTGTAATTTTTACAGTTCACACAATAGTATCAAGCAGCTACATACCAGCCAAGGAAAGCCAAGCACCAGCACCAAGAAAGGCTCAGCCCCTTACATGAGCTACATGTAGAAAGCGCCAAGACATAGCGCAAGCGGCCTCTGCCACAAGCCACCTACGTAAAGTTCTCCTCACAAGCAATCTCGGCTATGAATTACTTGCTCAGAGTGCTCAGGATGCCACCTCACATACCTGAGCTACCTGACCTGTGCTGTCAGGAAAGAACACAGAAAAACAAGTTCCAAAAACTGCCATTTTCCTCATACATCATTCATCCCGAGCCATGCCAGGCTCAACCTGAGGGAAATTGTAAATGGTACCATCAAATCAAATTGCAATAAAACATGTTGGGAATGGCACCCAACGCAGATCTGCAAAGGCACAGTGTCGACATCACGTGGGCCCACCAGTTTTATGTCCCAAAGCATCGCTGCGGACGGCCCCGGTCAGCATCCTGAACAGCCCTCATACTGTTCCTCACTCCCATTAGATCAATCACAGCGGAATTATATTCCTACGTCCGTATCCACAGGTTGTCTCATACGATTAATCTGGGTTGGGTCACCCTTTTTAGGGACCCGTGGAGACTGACCCCTGAGGTGGAAGCCTTTTTCAGCCGAAGAAAAATCCTTGCATGCCAAGGCACTAAAACATGCAAGCTGTTCTCAGTTCCTTTCACGGTGTCAGAGGGTCAGTCTGAACCCGGAAAATTCTTGAGAACAGAAGTTTGTGAGAACTAGCATGAGTCTGAACAGAAAGGACCAGTTTCTGCCCTGAGTCAGCTTCTCACATTTTCAGCCCTAAACTACATTTACAGCATTAATTTAAAACTGCAAGCAGGAGACGGCGGGCTTCCTACGCCTGAATTTAAAGTTAGCCGTCTGAGTCTGCTTTCTCACTGAACTCTGAATGCCGGGAACCTGGTAAGGAGGAGGAAAGTCTGAATAAAAAACTCTGCAGACTTGCTCATGAAGATTAATTGTCATTCTAGCTGTATGAAAAGGCTGGCTTGGAAGCAATTTTCCTCGGACAGCATTTAGCACACACTCTACCAAATGTCCAAGCAGCCCAGAAGGCAAGTGAAACTGCTTCTCCCATCTGAGACTCCGTTACGTTTTCCCTGACTCTGTCCCCTACTTTAATATCTAAAAATCCCATATTACGAGCCTGTAAAGCACACCCTGCAATGTGCAACCTATTACTATGATAAATATGCTGCAGGGAAGAAGGGAAAAAGTCATACTTACCCAACACCAGCATACTTGCCCAAAAAACACTTTTCCTCAAAAAATTATTCAGACAGCCTGGTGCCGGGGGTCTTTGAGCCCCACGTTGGGCGCCACTTGTCGAACGCCCCCCAAGCCCACCAGGCTTGGGTCTTCAACAAAAGAGACACTCAGGCATAAGTCTGAAGTTATGTGAGAAATTTATTAAAGGGATAGTAGGTACAGAGAGGAGAGCGCTCTCTAGAAGGAAAAATGAGGAAGAAATCTACTGAGGGGTCCCACAGGTCCTTTTTATCCGATCCGGAGTTTGGGTAACCTAGGTGCATCTCCACAACAGAAGTGAAAGTGTTACTATAAACAAAAGGAGAGACAGCACGAAGGCTGAACTGAAACTAACTTTCTAGAAGTCCTGATTTATCATCCAGGTACAGCCTGTCAGCTCTGACCGCTGAAGCAGAGAGCTCAGAAGCTCTTAAAGTGACACTCTCCTAATTTCCAATGCTTTTGGCAAGCATGGCTCCCGACACTAAACAAAGAAGGAAAAATACTGGTTTCTGATCAGTTCACAGTTCCTTAAAGAAGTTGAAAATATTCCCAATCCTGAGGACCTGAGTGTGATCCCAGGGACCCACATGGTGGAAATAGATAACTGACTTCACAAAGTTATCCTTTGACCTAATATACATGTACTATAGCATATGTGCACTCACAAACACATAAATAATTAAATGGAATTTTAAAAAATCTTTAGGAAGCCTTTGTGATCCAGGATTGAAATGGTTAAGGAATGAAGATATATTTCTTGTCCTGGTCCTCCAAAATTGACCACATACCTGAAGATTGTCAGACTCTTCAGTTAAGGTTATAGGATTAAAGATCAGTCAAAAGAGGAAAGGGCATTTACGGTTATTTTGTGGAAGGCTTTTCGATATTGTTGAATAACATTATGCCAGGTTTCCTATTGGCCAAAACATCATATGGTGCCCCAGTTAAGTAAATTTTATTTTATTGTTGAAGACAAGGAAAAAAAAAGTGTTGACAACCAGGTTTCTTGTTCACTGCACTATTCATCAACACATTTAAAATGACCAGGCATAGTATAGTGGCTGACACCTGTAATCATAGCACTCAGTAGGCTGAAGCAAGCTTTTGGCCAGCATGGGTTCTGGTGTGAGACCCTGTCTCAAAGAAAAGCAAAAGTGAAAGACATTTAAAAATGCTTGTTTTCTTTATTTTTGGATTTTTCTTAACCACAAGTACCAGATTTTGGATAAAACATTACAAAGTATAGAACATAGTAATTTTAAATGACACGGATTTGAGTAGTTCCATCAAATGAGTGGAATAAGATGTATTAAATTCTTAGGAAATTATGAAACTCTTCAGTAATCCTTTTAGAAAAGATCTTTGCAGAGTAAATATTGTGTTTGTTTGTAACGTTTATTTCACTTTCAGCAGTGAGGATGTAGTTTTAGGTTCAAAGTTACTTTGTGTCAACCAGTCTAATATTCATTCTTACTGACTGATGTGAAGCTCATTGTTTTATAGAATAATCCTTAGTACTCCCGTTTTCTTTCTGTGTTCTGCAGTTTTTTTTTCATTTTATTCAACTCAGCTCTGAAACCTTTAGAAGGAAAATTTTTTGGTTTCGTTTTGGGTGCTTCTCATTTTGTTTTGAGACAGGGATTCGACTCACGATTTTTCTGTCTTAGCCTCCCAAGTGCTGCATTTACAGACATGTGTGCCAGTTAAATTTGCTTTTATTTGAAGCTTTGAGTAGTGATTCACCTCTCCTCCATCTTCTAGCTCACCAATACACATTGCAGTTTCATTGTTCAGCCTGATGTCATTTTACCTGTTTCCCCTGTCCCAATGTGGTGTTTTTTTGTTTTTGTTTTAATGTGTATGACTATATTGCCTGCATGAATGTAAGTGCACCCTTGTCATGCAGTGCCTACGGAAATCAGAAGAGATAGATCATTGGATTCCCTGGAACTGGAGTTACAGATGATTATTAGCCACCATGTGGGTGCTGGGAATCAAACCCTGGTCCTTGGCAAGAACAGCCAGTGCTCTTAACTGCTAAGCCATTTCTCTAGCCCCTAATGGGTTTTTTGGTTTTGTTTTGTTTTTATTATAAGGATCCTTGATCAATTCTTTTTCATAATTAGCTGGTTTTTCTTTGACAGTTCCTTGTACTTTATGAATATAACACTTTAATTTTCAAAGTTGCTTTAAGTTTTTGTGGATTGTTGTATTAATCTGCAGAAGACTTTTGGAGATTTGTCTTCATCAGAAAGATAGCTGGCCACCTGAGGTGGTAACTTGATTGTGGCAGGATGATGACCATCTTGGTTTCTAGTTTGCCTCTACATGTCATAATACATGTAGATATAACATGATTATTACCTAATCACCTAGATTTCAGTTGGTACCTTGTCTGTTTCAGTGATTTTTTTTTTTAATGTGAATGTTCAATAATTTAATACTTTTAAATATGAAATCCAATTCCTTTCAGCCTATTATGATTAAATTTTATTGTATTTTTTCTAGAATCATGCTCATGAACATTTTCTGGATCTTGGGGATTCCAAAAAGCAGCAGGCAAATCAACACAATTATCGTACAAGATCTGCACTGGAAGAAACTCCTAGGTCCTTGGAGGAGATAGAAAATGGCACTAGTTCTTCAGATGTAAGATCATAGCACATTCACAAATTCTCTTATTTTTTTAATATGATTTTCATTCTTTGCATTCATTGATATATATGTAACTAAAATATGGCATTGTAGCTCTAAGCTAAAGACCTGCTTCCAGGCATGACATGTATTCAAAATCTCCTTCACAAAACAAATTCATGTGGATTAAATACCTTCAGTTCTCTTATTCTAATTTCATATGTAAGGGTTCTAAAGTTCAGAGATGTTTAGAATATACATCTGTGTAACTTAATGGTAGATCAGGGATTAAATACGTTTCTTTGACATTAGAGCTGATCCTTCAAATTGGCACCATGGTGCTCTGGTATAGTAACAGATTAAAATAATGGGTAATTCAGAATATGGTTAGTTAGTATCCATTTATAGCTTTTTTACTCTAGCTGTCTACTGTTATTCATGCATAAATATTTCTACAAATTCTGTCTCTGGAGTCATAATTTATTTTCAGCAAAGGCAATCAACAGTTACTAACCATCTTATTCACTACTCAAAACCCATCTTCTTTCCTCTCCTACTTCCTGTATTTTAATTTTGAGAGACAAGTTCAGCTCATGCACTGACTGCTAGTCTCTTTTGAAGCCATATTCTGTTTTGTGCTATTGAGCATATCTAAGAATGTCTTGAGTATCTGAGATTACCCTAAAGCATAATTGAAATTGATTTCTAAGGGCACCAGCCATTTCTCTGTAGTCCCAGCATATAGGAGACTGAGATAGGAAGCACTTAAGTCCAGTCTTTAGCAGTACTTTGACCCTATCTCAGAAACAAGTTTTAAAGTTAAAAGTTAGGAAAAAAATTCCATTTTATCCTGTGAATTTTCCAGACTGTATTTTTTATCTTTTCTGTTTTGTTACAGACTAGATTTTTGACTAATAAGGAAGATTCTTGGGAGACAGGCCGAAGAGCTCTTAGCATATTAGCTAGAATGAATCTGCTATTATGGAGAATTTTCCACATAAAGAGGAAATCTCACCTGTTTAGTCTCTGTCTCTGGAAGCAGATTTTCTCCTTTATAAGGAAAAGGCTGATATAATTCCAAGGTTTAATTTTCCTTCCCTTTTCTTGTGGTTATTTTTCACTCATACTTCAATATGCCTCCCACAGTCATGCCTTCTATAAATCTAGAGAGTTAGTTGCTTCCTTCTAATTCTACAGGGTCTGCTAGGAAGAACAAGTTTCTTTATAATGCTTGACACAATAATTACCTCTTCGTTTTACTCAGTGAATATGAACCTAAGAAATTTAGAAGTTAGTATGCAGTGGCTTTGAGTACTGGTAAAGCTTGGTCAGAATGAGGTGTTTATTCTGGCAAAAAGAGAAAATTATAAATTATGTAAAGCTGACTTTGAGATTTGGGGGAGGTGCTTGTTTTTTTGTGTGTGTTGTATTGAATCAGTGTCTTGCTGTGTTGCCCAGGCTGCTCTCAGCCTTCTGAGCTCACGTGATCTCCCACCTCAGCCTCCTGAGTAGCAGCTTTGTGCCACCTTTCCCACTTGGTGTGATTATTTATATTACATACAGAATATAAAATATATGTAGGCTAATTATTTGCCTTATGAAATTTTTGGATTTTTAGAGGCTAATAGTATGGTTCTTTTTAAATATGACATTTTTATAAAATGTCTTAAATGTTCAGTTTATTAGGAACTTGTGTGTTTTGAAGATTACATCTATTACATGAAAATTTCAGTAAAATTTAGTACCCTTTTAGAGTAGTTGGGTAAGTTTTTAGAGGAACACTTTTAGGAATAAAATAAATACAGCATAATAATTAACAGGAAGAATCCTGACTTCTTTATTGAAATATTTTGTCCTTTTATGTTTTCAATTTAGAGATTAGAAGCAATTCTAATAATTGCCTCTCTTATTAGAGAAGTAACACGAAATAACTGCCATTCATCAATTTCAGTTCGTTTTCTAAACTCTTTGGAATAGTTAGATAATTCACATTCTTCACTAAGACACCAAAATGGGAAAACTGTTCTCCAAAAATATGCTATTTTGCTTGAATTGTAAAAAGTATATCTCATTATTCTCTGGAAGAATTGTTTGAATATACCCAGTAATTGGTAAAACCAAACTATGCTTATTGAAAATTGTCAGAGCTTTGAGATAAAATAGCCTGGGTCCAATTAAACCTTTTACTTATTAGTTGTGTTGCCTCAAACAACTTCCTTCTTTAAACTTTTATTTCTTATATTGACTTAACTTCTTCTAATCCTTACTAACACTAAATGAGCTGATAAACACAAAATTTGGGCACTAAAGTTTACTAGCTGTGAGGATATTGTTATTGCTATATAAAGTTTGAGTAAAGACATTGAATAAGATTTTATAATGAAGAAACACAGCTTATGATGAAAATATTTTCACCCATAGTGTTCTCTGAGTCATGAATATTTCTAAGGATGAACTGGTTAGTTTTTCAATTATCTCTCATTTCTATAAGGTTAGAGATATAATACCATTTGTATGGTAAAGTTACTTTAATAATAAGCAAAATACTAGGGTACCAAACTTAAAATTCTGAAAGCATCTACAGAACGTGGTATTAAAAAAAAAAAAAAAAAAAAAAAAAAAAAAAATAATGCCTATAAGACAAATGTCAGTGCCTTTAATTCCAGGAGACAGAAGCAGGTGGATCTCTGTGAGATGAGGCCAGTCTGGTCCACCTAGTGACTTCTAGGCAGGCTGAGACTAGGGAGACCTGGTCAAAAACAACAGACGTATAAAGTAGTTTCAAATGTTAGCTATGGAATTTGATGTCAGCCAATTTAGTAGATGTGTACTTTAAAACGAAGCTAATTGTGTTAGCATAATCCTATAATTTTAGCACTTGGGATACAGAGGCAGGAGAATGACCAATTTGAGGCCAACCTGGTCTACATGAAATCCTCTCTTAGAAAACCAAAAGGCTGGTGGGCGTGGTGGTGCAAGCCTTTAATCCCAGCACTCGGGAGGCAGAGGCAGGCGGATCTCTGTGAGTTCTAGGCCAGCCTGGTCTACATAGTGAGTTCCAGGACAGCTGGAGCTACAGGGAGACCCTGTTCCCCCTCCCCCCCCAAAAAAGAAAAGAAAACCAAAAGGCTGTGGAAGCAGTTGGGTGGCAGAGTGCTTGCCTATCATATGCAGTGCTCTGTGTTCAGTTCCCAGTGGTAATCACCTGAGAGATGCTCTAGTAACAGTGGTAGCAGATATTATACCATTAAGAACATTTGTTACTCAATTTTTTGTGGGTTTTTGTTGTTTATTTTGGGTGGGTTTGTTTGTTGTTGAGACAGGGTGTCCCTGTCACCCCAGCTGGCCTGGAAGTTGACCAGGCCAGCCTCCATCTCACAGAGATCCTCCTGCCTCTGCCTCCAGAGTACTGGGATTAAAGTTGTGCTCCGTGACACCCCAGCAATTTCTTGCTTCTTTGAATAAAAACATAAAGGTGTTTTAGCTAGTCACTCAAGTTTTAAATATCCTAATAATATTGAATGTTACATCATTGGATGTTGTGTTACAAATGCAATGTCTTGTGTCTTCATTACCTTAGGAAGGTGAAGTAGCTGCTGTCAGTGGTGGAACATCTGAAGAAGAAGAGAGAGCATGGCACAGTGATGGCAGTTCTAGGTAATCAAAGGAGGGTTTGCTTCTCCAAATGTTCTGTAAAGTATCCATGGAGTCAGTCTCTCTCTCTCTCTCTCTCTCTCTCTCTCTCTCTCTCTCTCTCTCTCTCCACCCATCCATCCATTTCCCCATCTGTTCATCAGTCCTGTCGTGCACCCCCCCTCCCCATTAGCAACACATTTCAAAATCTAGGGTGTAAACTTCTTCAGATAGTCTTTTCCTACCAAAATTTAGATTTTTTAATTGACATTTCTTTATAAATAATTATAGATAGATTTGTATAATGTTTTCAACTTATCCACTGTTGAAGTTTGCTTTGTTCTGCTGTGCTAAAACACCTTGACCAAATCAGTTGGGGAAGAAAAGGTTTATTTCAGCTTATACCTCCAAGTCATCTTCAAGTACAGAGGAAGTCAGGTGGGAAATGAAGCAGGAGCTAAGGCAGAGCCTTGTGGAATGTTACTAGGTCTTGCTCACCTAGCTTTCTTCCCTGATTTTTGAAAAAAAAATTTGCATGTAAGAGTGCTTTGCCTACATGTATGTCAATATACCATGTGCATGCAATGCTAATGGATGCCAGAAAAGGGCGTCAAATCACCTGAAATTGGAGTTATGTGAATGGTTGGTATCTGCCATGTGGATGCTGGAAACTGTACCCAGGTCTTCTGCAAGAGCAAACCAGTTCTCTTAACCACTGATCACCTCTCCAGCCTCCTTACCTAGCTTTCTTATTCAGCCAAGGATCACCTGTCCAAGGATAATACCACCCTCAGTGGGCTGGGCCCTCCTATATTGATCAATAATCTGCTCACAGAGAGGACTACAGGCCTATGTTATCTGGGCAGTCTCTCCATTAAGAACCCTCAGGTGACTCTAAACTATATCAGGTTGACAGTTGAAGCTAACTATGATATCTACCTACTTGTTACTGTACTACTGAATGTTGTTACTTATAGTGTGGAATTATAAAGTAGTTTACTACTGATTATGAGTAATGTTTAATGAAATTAATGAGATCCTGTTGAATTAGATCTCTCATGGCAGAATTTATGGAGTAATTCATACTTATTGCCAACAATATTTGCATTTTCTGTTCTCATACCTTTTCACCATGCAACGAAGAAGCCCTTCAGCTCTTTTTATTGATGCTTCTCATTTCTATGCATGCAGAGGCCAGAAGACGCCTGCTAGTCTTAGCTGACACTGCAACCTTTTCTTTTTTTGTCTTTTTGAGACAAGGTCTCCCTGTAGTCCCAGCTGACCTGGAACTCATTATGTAGACCAGGATGGCTTGGAACTCACAGAGATCCTCCTGCCTCTGCCTCCTGAGTGCTGGGTGTATGCATGTATTGCCTGCATGTAGGTAAGTGCACCTGTGTCGTGCAGTGCTTGTGGAGGTTGGAAGAGGCTGTCGGATCCCCTGGAACTGGAGTTATGGTCAGTTGTTAGCAGCCATGTGGGTGCTGGGATTCGAACCCAGGTCTTCTGAAAAAAAAACAAAACTGTTCTTAACTGCTGAGCCATCTCTTCAGCCCCCAACATTGCAAAATTTTGATAACTAATGGGAATTTACCCTTTCAGAGGGAGGCAATTATGTATCATTCCTTATACTATTTCCCAACTTCTATGACTCCTAAAATAGAAGTGCCAAATGAAGTATTAAGTGGAAGCCCTAAGAATTCTATGAGACTCTAATCAGTTCAGTGACCAAGGGCTTTCCCACTCCCACAAGAGTGATTCTTGATAATGATGTACAAGTTCTATGGTTAATATCTAGTAGTCCCTTGTTTCTGAAACAGGACAGTAAAGGAAAAATGTTCGTTGTCTTTTGGCTCAGCAGTCAGTCGAAACAGAATATTTATTATTTTTATTATTTTTATTTTATGTATATGCCTGTATTGCCTGCATGTAGGTAAGTGCACCCATGTCATGCAATGCCCACAGAGGACAGAAGAGACTGTCGGATCCCCTGGAATTGGAGTTATGGACAGTTGTTAGCTGCCGTATTCGAACCTGGGTCTTCTGCAAGAACAGTCAGTGTTCTTAACTGCTGAGCCATCTCTCCAGCCCCTGTAGTTCAAATTTATGCTGGCATTAGATCTTTTATAAGAACTGTATATTCCAGAGACTGGTACCTGCCTTTCATATATGTACCATTTGGCATACTGGTTGCACACAGACCAGAAAAAGGTATGGTATCAGATCCCTTAGAACTGGAGTGGCAGACAGTTATGTGCCACTGTGTGAATGCCGGGAACTGAACCAGGCTCATTCATAAGAGCAGCAAGTAGTCTTAGCCACTGAAGCCATCTCTGGAACACATGAAAACATTTTGGGTATTTTTTTTATTTTACGTGTGTGCGTGCGCGTGTGCGTGCAATGCATGCAGAGGCCAGAACTGGAGTTACAGGTGGTTGTTAACCTCTATGTGGGTGCTGGGAACTGAACCCCAGTCCTCTGCAAGAGCAACCAGTGCTCTTAACCAATGAGCCATCTCTCCAGTTCATGAAATCATTTAAGTTCTTAAAAGTCAAATCATATGAGAAAACATTTTGTCATTTGATTCTGATCTGGAATGATTACTCCCAGGAATTGTCAGGTAAATTTAAAAACATTTGGGACTGCAGAGAGGTGATAATGGAATAAAACTACAGAAAAAAACTGTTCTTTTCCTGAGTGTTAGCTTAGTAATTAATATTGGACCTGTGAGGTCATACACCACAAAGCTAACAGTTTAATGTTGTATGAATATAGATTTTAACATGATATAGATTCTGTTAAAGTGTTGTATATTTATAAACCTTTGCAAAATAAGGAAATATTCATGTTCTAAAATACAGCAAGTAATATGTCTGTGAAGATAAATGTAAAGAAATGGCACTACATAAAACAAAAAAGAATTCTAAGCTCCCCTCAAAAGGAAATCCCTGTGTTTCCTAATTGTTGATACCTGCTATTGTATGTTCCAGGGCTCTATTCCTTGAACTCAAGAAGGTGATTCCACATTCCTTATATCTTACATGCCAAACAATATTATTGACATATGTAGAACTCAGAAATCATTATCCTTCTTAAAACTACAAAAGTCTCTTAAATTTAGTTTTTTATGAAAAGCTGTGACTTTTAAAAATATATAGTTAGTTGGTTAGTTAGTTCATACATTAGTTAAACTGCTCAGACATGGCTCAGTGGTTAAGAGCACTGACTACTCTTGCAGAAGACCTAGGTTCTCGCCACATGGCAGCTAACAATTGTCCATAACTCTAGTTTCAGGGGACCTAACTCCCTTTTCTGGCCTCCGTAAGCCCTGCATCACATGGGTGTACTTAGATGCATGCAGGCAAAATACTGATACACATAAAATAAAAATTTTTAAATTACTTAAGCTTAACAAGGGTTAAGAAACTTTCGAAGATAGGAGTTGAACATCAAGGAAATAACTTTTAGTTTATTCATTATATACTATTCTGTTGTTCCTCTTTATCATGAAATTTCTTAACTGTTCTATAAAACAAGATCTTAAAACTATCCTATTTATTTATGTTTAAATCTATTCTCTTCTAGTGACTACTCCAGTGATTATTCTGACTGGACAGCAGATGCTGGAATTAATTTGCAGCCACCAAAGAAAGTTCCTAAGCATAAAACCAAGAAAGCAGAAAGCAGTTCAGATGACGAAGAAGAATCTGAAAATCAGAAGCAAAAACATATTAAAAAGGAAAGAAAAAAAGCAAATGAAGAAAAAGATGGACCAGCATCACCAAAGAAAAAAAAGCCCAAAGAAAGAAAACAAAAGGTTGATTTTAAAAATTATAAATTTAGTGTTTCTTTTGTGTCAGTGACTTAAAGCATACATTTGAAAAGTCCAGTTGAAGACACTTACTGATATTGTTGGTTTATTGTCGGACAGTAATCGAAAAAGAACTGAGAGTTACAAAGTGATATCGTTCATGAGATATAGCCAGTTTAGGTGTTTAATGCCCAAGAATGTTTGCTTAGAACATTACTAAATATTGAGTGTTTAATTTTAAAACATGACAACATTTTTCTTTATATTCCAATGAGGTTTCACTTATAAACCAAATAATGGTACAAAATGCAGTTCATCTATAATTCTTTACATTTAGCAATCCTCCCTGTTTTGGCTAAAAGTAAACAAACTCTAGGGAAGGAACATCACCTGATATAAATAACAAAATTTGTCATAGTTGATCACAAGACAAGTACAAATCAAATCTTGGGCCTCAGTAGACTAATTGTAACACATTTTTCATTGACTACAGTGTCTGAACATAAGTTTCACTTTTTTTGAGTAAGTAATAATACTGGTTTGGTTACTTCTTGAGTCTTGATAATTTGGAGAGAGAGTAGAAAGAAAATAATTGGCAAAAATATGGCTTCCTTATAAAGCTGAAATTCCTAACCAGAGCATGCATGTGTGAGTTATTTAATTTTTGTTTTCAGATCAGCAGTATGATTTCTGCTGTCTAAAATACAAGTGCAGATGAGATGGCTCAGTGGGTGAGGATGCTTGCCATGCAGCCTGACATTTGATCCCCTGGTCCCAGGTAGTGGAATGTGAGAAGGGACTCCTGCAAAATGTCCTCTTACCTCCAGATGTGTACTAGTGCACTTGTGTATCCCACAAACACACAAATAAATGAAGAAATAAATTTTTTTTTAAATAAATAATTTTTAATTTTAAAAATACTGTAGTTACCTGGCATGTTTGGGTAAGTAAATAGAAAAATTTTTAAAGCTTGACCTTTTCTTAGAATTAAGGATATTATGCCTAGCATAGTGGCACACGCCTTTTATCCAGCCCTCAGGAGACAGAGACAGGCTGATCTCTGTGAGATCCAGGCCAGCTGGGGCTACGGGGACACGCTGTTTCAAAAATAAAAGTTAAAATAAAATAAATAAATAGAATTAGTTTCTTACCATTTGTAGAATTAAATACTAGCATGCTCTGGCTGTTTATTCCCAAAGAGCTTCAAAAAGTATAAGAATATATCTTATACTTTTAAGTGTTTATTTGATTTCCATTAGTTGAATTCATATTCATTTCAGCTCACCAATCATACATGACTTTATTTTGGATTCACAGCAATCATTCTTGTTACCTCCTTTGCTTTTGTTTGGAGATTTGCCAATGAGAATGCCATATTTGTCTTCAGTTTTTTTTTTTTCCTTTTGCTTTATGAGTGATGACAAATATAGACTGAGCAATTATTTTGTGTGGTAGGCAAATTAGCTTTTAAAACAATGTAGCCATGGATCTGATTAGTATGGTATATTTTCATTCCAACGATAGATCACTCAGAATATAATTCTTTGATCCCAAGAGTACAGTTTGCTTTCCCTGGTCTTCTCTGGTACCATGGTTATCCATAAATTAAACATGCTATTTCTTCATGCAGCGCCATTGTTGAATCTCCTGTTTGCAATATTTTAATTCTGCTATTTTTCTGTTTGAAAGTGTTGTGGCTGGGTCTGTATGGGTCATACTTTAAGTAAGATAAGTGTAGTATAGACTATTCCTTTTGGTTACTCTTTTAGATCTAACACAACAGAATGATGAAACTGTTACTCTTCACAAGTTAAATCAGAAAGCACAGATGTATTTCCCTTCTTATGTGTGGAATTGTATGAGATGCATTTAGGAAGCAATGAAAGCGACTGATGCATTTCTATATATATGAAAAATGAGACTTTTTTGTATGACTGGTTCTTTTTTAATTAAGCAAACAATAAGTCAGATATAGTAAATATTAATTAAAAGAATTCTTCAGAGGGTCAATAAACTATTAAGCACTCGCAGTTTACAAAGTAATGTGATACATAAAATAAGCATATAGCATGTTTAACCAGTAAGGTGTTCCAGTGCCCCAAGATAGCTGCAGAAGAAATGCCACATCATTTAATTGCTAGATTAATTTAGAGGTAATAATTTACATCTTATGTTAGGGTTTCAGATAAGGCTTCCTATATGGACGAAGGCTTGAGATGGGCCCAGAAGTATTCCTAAGAGTCCATGGAAAGGAGCCAGTTAACTCTACATCCAATATAAAAAAGTCTGAAATCACAAGTTTTGAGAAGTACTTAATACATTTTAATGGTTAAATTTTAGGTGGCAAAAATGTGCTTCAACCAAATGTCTTGTGGTGTCAACCTCCCTCCCACCACTGTAGCATGTTTTTATGCCTTCTTTTAGGTATTGCCATCTCCCAGAAGTTGTACCACATCCCCGTAGTACCACAGCTGGGGGCCAAACCTTCAACACTTGATCTTTGGGAGGATATTTAAGCCAGGAACAATTAGCAGGGTCTAGCTTACTGATATGCTTGGTGCATAACCCAGTGGCTTTCTGATAACATTTGTCAATTGTATAACTACATGGACATCATCTGATTTGATAAGGTATCTTAGGCCTAGCAAATATAAATCTTACTTACCAGATTGACCCTTCCACTCTGCTCTACCTCACTTCTCCTCATTATAGTTATGACAACTCCATCTTCTGTGTACACTAAAATTTCCTAAGTGATACTGAATTCTTTTTCTGTTTTCTTTAACAATTAATCTGCCAGAGAACTATGAGATTGCCTTTGATACATATTTAGCACTTGACTGTTTCTGTTATCCAGGTCAACGCCTGCATGCTGAGGTTAGCCATAAAGAGTTAGTTACATTACTCAAGTCTGTCATCTTTCTTCTACCTCTTTCTCCCAGAGGACTCTTTTCTAAAAGAATGGGTCAACTATTACACCATTATATCCTGAAAGTAGCCACAGAAGATAGATAAACTAATGGGTGGGCTGTATGTCAGTAAAAGTTGATTTATAAAATCGGCAGGTTGCCCTTTTCTACTCTGTTATGTTCAGTGATCCTTTTAAAATATATCAAACAGTAGTGTTCTTTTGCCTAAGATTGCCCAATGAAACTGGTTATCTCACATATAGGAGATACCAAAGGCTTTTGCTTATCCTATGTTCCTCAAAGTATGAGAAGACTGATAAATGCCATGAATGATCAGTAGGAAGAAGAGGAAAATGTATATTGTGAAGTAATTGTAGAAATGTTTTCTGTAGGTGGTGTCTTTGATGTTCTGGCATACTTCTAGGAAATTTTTATTAATTCATTGTAGGAACTGCTTTTTAAAAAAAAATCACAGCAGAATGAAATTTAGAACTCTTAGTCACAAACACTAAACCACATGTTTAATCAATTGCATAAAGTTTCTCTAATTATAAATAATGTTAAGTTTCTGAGGTTTTTTAATCCATTTTCCATGCTTGTAAGGAAGGCCATGTGGTCATTTGTTTGGTGACATCAAAAGTAAACTTATCAGGGGCATAAGACTTGCTCATGTTTGTTGTTCTTGTGGTTGTTTTTAAATCTATGGGAGTTACCTGGGTGTGGTGGCACACACTTTAAATCCCAGCATATAGGAGGCAGAGGCAGCCAGATCTCTGTGAGTTTGAGGCCAGCCTGGTCTCCATAGCAAGTTACAGTCCAACTCGAGGTTAAAGGTGTGCGCACCATGCCCAGCTTGGGATTTAGCTTTTAAGAATAAAAGTTTTACACAAAGGACATTTTCTTGTACTTTATGATAATATTACTTTATGTTTTGAACTTTCTTAGAGGTTGGCTGTAGGAGAACTGACTGAAAATGGTTTGACATTAGAAGAATGGTTGCCTTCCGCATGGATCACAGATACAATTCCCCGAAGATGCCCATTTGTGCCACAGATGGGTGATGAGGTACTTTTAAATTTTTAAATTATACTTTTATTTTTCATCTAATAACCTTGAATATTTTTTTAGCTCTAGAAGACTGCAGCAAGTTCATAAAAGTATCTCATTCTAGCTATCCATAGCTATGAATGGGGAAAATACTAGTCAAGATCTAGTAATGAATTATTTTTTTTAATTGAAGTTTTGTGTATTTCATACATAAAATCATCTTTATGCTCCCTTCCCCCTTCTTTGTCATCCTCCCATAGTCGTCCTGTCCCGTCCCCACCCCACTCCACCCCCCACTGGAGTTCATGCATTCTGTCATTTGTATTAAGGCCTATTATGTAAATTTAGTGTCCTGAGATGTCCCTCAGTGCAAGTTCAACCTCCAGGTTTAGTCAGCCTATCTAGACCTCTCCATTTAAGATGATTAGCTGTTCCTCACTCAGCGGTAATCAGCTGCCAATAATTCTTTGGCTAAGATTGAGGCTTGCTGTTCATTTCCATAGTTCTGTGTTGGGTTTTTGTCTGCCTAAGTTTGCATGGGTCTTGTGCATGCTGACACCATTGCTGTAGGTTTGTATGAGAAGGGTCCCTGGCTCTTACACTCTTTCCGCAGTGGTCCCTGGACCCACAGTCTGCTGCCTCTTATTCTCTGCGTTTTAGCCATTTGTGGCCTTTGGTGTTCTTGCCCTCTGTTGCATGACAGAACTTAATTGATGAAAATTGAAAGATGCATTAGTGTTTTCTTCACCCCTTGTTCTATGTTGTGAGTCTTAGGTGTAGAGGTTGCATCCTAGATGGGCCACTTATGCTTGAGCATTTCACAGTGATTAATTTTTTTAAGACTACTATAAATATTAAGGTAATCTAAATATTAGTGAAAGAGTGGAGATTTATTGCCATATTTAAAACTGACATTTTTGAACAAAAGGATTTTATTGCTAATTTTCTTTATATTTCTAAATAAAAGTATTTTTCTTAGCTTAAGAATTAAACATACATGGGCTAGAGAGGTGGGTCAGCAGTTAAGAGCACTGGCTGCCCTTGGCAGAGGACCTGAGTTTGATTCCCAGCACCCACATGGTGGCTAACAACCGTCCATGGCTCTGACCTCTTCTTATGACCTCACAAGCATTGCATGACGTGAGTGCACTTAGATACATGCAGGCAATACACTCATATACATAAATAAAAATTATAAACATTTTTGGAAGAATTAAATATATAGGATCCTAAATGAAAAGAAATTTAGTACTTTATTTTCATTTAATTTTATTTCAAGAAATTTTCATTTGCTTATATCTTCATAATTTCCTTGACTTTATTCTGTCGTCTTAGAATAAGAACCCCTCTTTTTTTCCATCATTTTACACTGTATTTATGAATTTTGGATTACTTTAAGACTTTATATCATAAGTTTCCAGAATCATATCACCTTATATACAAGAGGTGTTACCTGGTATCCAACAGAGTGACAACAAAAATAATTAAAAGAGACTTCTTTGGCAAAGCACACTGAATAGTATTATAAAGTGGTGACTGACAATTTAGAAATAAAAATATATGCAAGAGTGGCTTTAAAGAATAATCTTGAATGATTTTTTAGAGATCCTTCTTGCCTCAAAGACTAGGAAATCAGCACTTTACTATAAGATCGTGTAACATTAAGGGGATAAATTACAATTCTAAGATGGTCACAAATGTTTATAATTTCTTCTTAATTTCCTTTTAGACTATATGATCTTTACAGTTGCTAGTACTTCAGGCTCTACTCTTTAGTACTGTCATTACGCATCATCCCCATTTGTAGGCAAACACTACTTCTCTAGCATCTAAAGCATACTTTCCTTTGAAATCCTAGACAACTGAAGCAATAATAACTAGAAAGAAAATATGTAGGATAATGCCTGTCCAAAAATATTACTAAGAATTAGAAAATGCATTTTAAACAAGCTTTTCTATTTTTTAATAATGAGAAGACTATTTACATGTTAAAAATCAAGTTAGATAAACCAATTTCAAAGTTATCTGCGTGCACACACACACACAACATAGCACATGCTTTAAAAAAAAAAAAAGTATGCAAACTTACTGTAACTCCAAGTTACATTTGGCTTTATACTTTATAGATTATTTGAATCTAAGTATAAAATAATGAGGGGCTGGAGAGATCGCTCAGTGGTCATGAACAGTGGATGCTCTTGCAGTGACTTGGGCTTGGTTCCAGGCACCCACATGACAGCTAACAGTGACTCAGGTTCTAGGGACTCTTATGCCTTTTTCTGGCCTCTGCAGGCATTGCATGCATGTGGTGCACCTACATACGTGCAGGCAAAGCATTCATGCACATAAAAATGAATGTTTTTTAGTAATTTAAGAATAAAATGATAAAGTCAAAGTACTGAACACTTAAATTTCTGACTATATATACAAAGCAGTTATTTAGAACACTTGAATTTTGATTTACTGATGATTTGAATAAAGTTTTTGCTTTTAAATCAGTATTAGAATTTCTGTGTAAAGTTAAAGTAGATTTTCACCGTATTTAGATCTTTCATCTTTAGTTTTGATTTTGTTTTTTAGGTTTATTATTTCCGACAAGGACATGAAGCATATATTGAAATGGCCAGGAAAAATAAAATTTATAGTATCAATCCCAAAAAACAGCCATGGCATAAAATGGAACTACGGGTATGATGTTGACATATTTATTTAACATAAAAGATGCAGTTTGAATTATGGAGGAAGTTGTATTGAGGGTTACTATTGATTACAATAAACTTGTGTGGGACTGGGGAAGATAGCTGAGTGAGCAAAGTGCTTCCATGAAAGCCTGAACTGGAGTTTAGAGTCCCAGCAACCATGTAAAACTGGGTGTGGGAGGTCCCCATCCTATACCCACCCATTTACCCTCAACCCCCATAACCCAGCACTTTGAAAGCAGAGACAAGCAATTGGGTCCAAACCAGCAAGGTTACCTAGACTAGCCAAATCCGCAAGTTCCAGATTGAGTGAGAAAGACTCGCTCAGTAAATAAAATAGTGATCAAGGCAAACACCAGGTACCAAACTCTGGCTTCCACATGTGCACGGGTTATTTTGCAAAGATAATTTCTTATTTTCTCTATTTTAGGAACAAGAACTGATGAAGATAGTTGGCATAAAGTATGAAGTGGGATTGCCTACCCTTTGCTGCCTTAAACTTGCTTTTTTAGACCCTGATACTGGTAAACTGACCGGTGGATCATTTACTATGAAGTAAGGACTGTTAACGTCGCAGTGGGTTCATAGTATTGTAATACTTTGCAAAATTGAGATAAATGTGAACATGGTTTACCTATGTGACCTAATCGATTTGTTTCTTTTTGTAATTAGATACCATGATATGCCTGATGTTATAGATTTCCTAGTCTTGAGACAACAATTTGATGACGCAAAATATAGGCGGTGGAACATAGGTAGGTAATGTATTTGGAAGATGTAGGTGTTCTGTACATTCTCCCCCCCTTATTGATTTACTGTTTTTCAAAACTAGAAAAAGATAATTTGAACAACCTTTTTCACCATTTTTAAGCATGCTAATGGTAAAGTAAGGTACTGTTAAGGTGTGTAATTATAAGAATGAAAATACTTGAATCTAGTTGATGCTTATATTTCAAAACATTTTCTTTCACATTTGCATAACTGTTAATAAGATTATTTAGAATTTTTCCTTTTAGCTATTTTCAATACATTGAATTAAATACTTATCCAATAATAGTATTAATAGAATTCCTATTCAAGGGCCAAAGATGCCTTAACAAAATAAGTTAAAATTTGAGCTTGGACTGAGGTTTAGCTGACTTTTTATTACTCATTAACTTTTGGAAATTTTTAAATCATAAAGTTTCTGGGCTTTTAAGATAAATTATATACAAATGGGGTGTTATTCATTGAATAGTTCTCCATTTCAAGCAAAGCCACTGTTTGCCATTTTATAGTGCATTGTGGTGGGTCTATCAGTCTGTCTCTTCCAGAGCTGTTGGTTGGCACATGTCCTTTTTAAATATATTTTATTTATTATTTTTGTTTTATGTGTATGAGTGTATTGCCTGCATGTATGTGAGTGAACCCGTGTCATGCAGTGCCGCAGAGGTCAGAAGAGGGCCTCGGATTCCCCTTGGAACTAGAGTTAAGGACAGTTCGTAGCCACCATGTGGGTGCTAGGAATCGAACCCAGGTCCTCTGCAAGAGCAGTCAGTGGTCTCAACCGCTGAGCCATCTTTCCAGCCCCACAAGTCCTTTTTTGCGTGGTCTTGGTAAAAATCAGTGTTTAAAAAGGGGGTGGGCAAGGACATGAAGGAGAACTAATTGCAGTGACAAGTATGAAATGTCATGATGAAACTCATTATTTTGTACAAAAACCCTGAAAACAGAACTTTAAAAATGTAATAAAGAGGGGTAAGGAGGGAAGTAAGAGAAAAGAGAAATAGAAAATCTTCAAGAAATAAAGAAGTCCATAACAAGAGTATAAAGAAACTTCTAGAAAGTTAGGAGCCCAGAAGACCTTGTCCTGCAAGAAAGAAGTCTGCAGGGGAAGAACAGAACTCAGATTATTTAAAAAAAAAAAAAAAAAAAAAACAGAAAACAAAAGAAACTTGACATGGTAGAAGATTATATTGAAAAGAGATTTTTACAGTTTTATTTTGTGGAAAGATTTCATTGTGAATTTATAGAAGACCAAACAGTAAAATTGAAGCAGTTAATTATTTGCGCAAAATCAGTATTTTGCCAGAAGTGAACTGCATGCTAGTTTTATTAGTGGCAAGTGATATTTACAGTCATGATAAAACTGAATCTAGATTCAATGTAACAGATATGCCTTTTATATATAATACTATTTACAATGGAAAGAAACTGATTCTTTCAAAAATGGATGGGTGAATCAGATATTTCACATGAATAAACATCAGAATGTTTTCGTTTAGATCCTGAAATTTTTCTATATTCATAAATCAGTATTTCTTCTATAATACCTATTGGTCCTTTACTTGTGATTGAAATGTATCTACCTATAATCTGCCATTTAAAGTCACAGTAATAATTTTTGCTTTAGCTTTATTCGGGGGTGTTTTAAGGTATACTCTTAACAGTTCACTGTGTCACCAATATGCATCTGAGGAACAATGAGAGACTTAATTTTCCTACTAACATTCTTAATAACATTGCCTGTAAGAATACTTGACCCTAGGGGCTGGAGAGATGGCTCAGCGGTTAAGAGCACTGACTGCTCTTGCAAAGGACCCAGGTTCGATTCCCAGCACCCACATGGCAGCTACAAACCATCCTTAACTCCGGTTCCAGGGGAATCCGAAGCCCTCTTCTGATCTCCACGGCATTGCATGACACAGATACATCTGTACATATACAGATATATGCAGGCAATACATTCATACATATAAAAATAAAAGAAAGGAAAAGAAAAGGGAAGAAAGAAAGAAAGAAAGAAAGAAAGAAAGAAAGAAAGAAAGAAAGAAAGAAAACTAGAGGAAACCAGCCAGCGTAATGGCGCATGCCTGTAGTCCCAGCACTTCGGAGGCAGAGACAGGTGGAGCTCTGTGAGTTCAAGGTCTACATAGTGAGTTCCAGGACAGCTGGGGCTACAGCGAGACCCTGTCTCAAAAAGACAAAAGAACTAAACTAAAAAAATACTTGAATCTAAATTAGAATCCAGTTTTGTACCCAGTCAGAGTCGCCAGCAATTTCCAAAATGTTTTCTGTTAGTTTATTCCTAATTCTATTTAAATTTTTCTTTTACCTTGCTGTCAGCTGATTTTGATGCATTTATGCTGTTTTATGCATTTCTGCACAAACAAACCAGTTGAGGGAGGGGCTTGAAAATATGGCTGAACAGATTAGTTGACAACTTGATTCATTGTTCCTTATTGCTTGTTTAAAATGAAAATATCTTAATAGAAGATATTATTCAAATACTTTGAAATAGATGTCACCATTTTATTTTTTTTTAATAGATATGGGAAGTAAAGCTCAAAAATAACTAATGAGAGTCCCACAGATATCTTATCTGAGCCCATGCCATTCAGACTCTTCCTGTGCTATCCAGCACAATGCTTATTTAGTACTATGGAAGCCAAAGAAGGGAAAACACTGCCCAAAGAAGAGTGCCTTCCTAGCATATTTATGACAAGCAAGTTAAGTAATAAAAGAGTAGCTGAATGCATTTGGTAAGGAAATAGATGCAAGGAGTACTTTTTTCTTTTTGCAGAGATCTCTAGTTTTCATTTTGTTTCTTTTTGTTGTTGCTGTTTTAACAGGAGAGTGAAGATATATTATAGTGTAGGGATGATGAGATGAAGGAGGCCACATTGGGATTTTTTTGTATGTTTTTGCTTTGAAAAGTCTGAAGTCTTAAATTGCTAATAGGAAATGAGAAATTGAAAATAGGCTATATGTTAGTTGCCCAAAAATTACCTAATTTATGTATATTTGAAGAATTTGGACATAGTCCTAATGGTGAATTTAAAATGCTGATTTTAGAAACATGCTTAAGACAAAAGAAAAATTCTTAAAACTAATGAGATCCTAAGAAATAATATTTGAAATTGATGTATCACATTTCAGATGTGCTTATTCAGTGCCAGCCCTCTAATATTTCTGATCTTATTAACTTATTTGTAGACCATATGTATCACCTGTCTTGTGAGGTCATTCAGTTTAAGTTCCTTAGAAACTTGAAAAGGCAGTTACCAAAGCAGCAATACGTTTCAGAGTGATTGAGATAACTTTTGTTCTTTGTTCTTTTCCAGGAGACCGCTTCAGATCAGTCATAGATGATGCCTGGTGGTTTGGAACAATTGAAAGCCAGGAACCCCTTCAACCTGAGTACCCTGATAGTTTGTTTCAGTGCTATAATGTCTGGTAAGAAATGCTGTTGTGTTTTTAGTTCAGACATGCCTGGAATTTTTTAACCATAGTAAAGGAATTAGTAAAAGAGCTTCTTTCATACTGAAGCTACTTTTTAAAATTTTTTATAAAAATTACAATGTTTAGGCTTTCCAGTGTTCACATTTTTTAATAGAAGAATTTGCCTTTTTTATAAGAAAAATAATTTATTAAGAATTTCATACATGTGAATTTGCCTTTCTTAAAGCTGGGACAATGGAGATACAGAAAAGATGAGTCCTTGGGATATGGAGCTTATACCTAATAATGGTGAGTATGTATTAGGCCCTTGACTTGTACCTTCCAGAATTAGTTTAAAGATTTATCATTTTAATTCATGTGTATATGTGTGCCTGCATGTGTTTATGTGCCTCATGTGTCTGCATGTGCCCACAGAAACAAGAGGGCATTGGATCCCTTAGAAGTTACACACAGTTTTGAGCCACCTTGTGTGGTTGGTGGGAACTGAACGTATGTCCTTTGCAAGAGCAGTAAGTGCTCTTAACCATTGAGCAATCTCTCTAGTTCTGTGTGCCATGACACACATGTGGAGGTCAGACTGCCCACGAAAGTTGGTTCTCTTCTACCACCAATGGGTCCCTAGGTATAGAACGCAGGTTGTTAGGCTGGATAGCAAGCACCTTTACCCTCTGAGCTATCCCGTCAATCCTGGAGATAGGTTTTTTTTGTTTTTTTAATAAGAAAACTGGTTTACAGTTCAAGCACGCTTCGGATATAGCATAACAAGAGATGAAGTTTTTGAGTTAAATATTGATCTCATGCCGTTCCTTGCCCTGCTGCATTCTATGTGAATTTGGCTAGTTCCATAAAGTCTCAAAATCATGTTCTTAGGACTCAGCCTTTAGTAATCTAAACAAATTCCCATCTTATAGACTACTTCCAGAATTATATGCCATCATGTGTATAAAGTGCTTACCATAGAACCTGACCCATATGAGAGTCCAGAGTAATAAAGGAGTTATAATTAATAATAGTACAACCATTATCTTGAATATAGCCTAATAAACTTGGAGCTTGGAAGTTAACCTTGGGAAGTGAATATGATGTCTTTACACTGAAAAGGAGTGTGTATGGCTGAAGCATAGCAATTACATTTCTTCTTGATTATCCATGTTTTGTTTCAAGCTTTAAAAAACATGATAGTGCATTAAAAGGATTAAAATAGCACACTGCATATTTGTAATTTATAATTATTTATAGAGTAGAATCTTTTACATTATTCTATATTGCTTATGCCATCAGATCAAAATAACCATCTTTAAAAACAAGGAGAAAAATACCTGATTTTTTTTTTTTTTAAGTTTTTACAATTTTATTAGAATTTTAAAGAAAAAGAAACCCTCAGGGCAGGTGAGCTGGTACTCTTGGCAGCTGCGTTAAGGAGGGCATCAGCCACATGGCTGGGAGAAGGAAGCTTTAGAGAAAAAGTAAAGAAGTGCAAGATACTAGGGGCACCCAAAAGCCTTAAAGAAAGCATGTTTAGTAAGAAAGGCATGAGGATTTCAGGGAAGTGGACAACTCATAGACTGCATGGCAGTAGCTAGGAAGTTCTGCCCCACAGGCAGGATTATAGCGAGGAAAAAGATGCTATCTCATTAATGCACTAAGTATTCTGCCCATCTGTTTAGCATAAACCCCCTTCCTAGGGGTGGGCCTATGACCAGTTGATTGACCAGTTAAACTTACATAAAATGGAGGCACTCGGGGTATTACATTCCCCACTGGCTCTGGGGCATAAGTCGAATCTTTGACTTGTTTTGATTTTGAGGCTCATATTGGGTCCTTAGAACTCTAATTTTGATGACATTTAGGTGCCTCTTGATCTATCCAGTTAGGCAATTTCCAAGGTGTGGACCCACTGTAAAGGCTAGGAGAGGAATATTACCGGTGGCCCAGTAAAACTCAAATACCTGATTTTTTAACATAGTAGAATTAATCATTTATAAATGAGATTACTGAATAATTAATGTACCCTAAAAAGTTGTTGAAGAGATGCCACAAGTTCAAAGCCAGCAGGGACTACATAGTTCTTGGCCAACCAAGGCTACATAGCAAGACCCTGTTTCATAAAACAAAGTACTTGATTTCCTAACTGCCTGCTACATAAGGATATTATGAATAACAAAGAAAATGAACTGAGCTAGGAAACCTTAAAAATGAAGAAATGGTCATGTTGATACTGTTAGTCTAAGATTATTTCATTTAATACTAATAAAATTTTTCATTTCACAGCACAGAGATGCTTAAATATATAAAGGATCTTGAGTTTGTAACTTTGTCATATGACTTCTCATTTTGTCTCTGAATTTAAATTTAATGTTTGAATTTGAAGTTATTGGATTGTTGTACGCTAATTGACTCATAAGAGAGGAATGAAATTGGGATTATAATACCTTGGCTTTTTTAAAAAGAATGATAAATTTCCTATGTAAATAAACCTTTTTTATGTGATGGTGGTGATGGTATACACGTACATATGCACGCATAGAGTTTACAGTTTGAGGAAGAATTATTTTAGTTGTAAACTTTACAATTCATTGTTCTTTTTGGTCCTATATTATAAAATTTGAGATTTTGATTAAGGTAGTCTTGAAAATTGCTTTTCATTAGTTCAATTTCACCTTGTGTTTTAAAAATGTGGCAATTAAGGAATGAGTTAAACTTACAGAGCAACTTTTCAGGTGTGATTTTTGCACAAGTAACTTCAGTGTTTTGTTTTTAAATGTAATGCTTTTTTTAAAAAGACTTTTTATTGGCCCTTAAAACATTTTTCTTCATGAAAATGAATCCTCCTATCAAATTCATAGGCGTCAAATCAAACAATTAGAACTTTATTTTTTTGACATTTTCAGCTTTTTCTAAAGGAAAACTAAACTGTAATTACTAAATACTTTCATTGATATGCTTTCCTGTATTTCAGCTGTATTTCCGGAAGAACTAGGTACCAGTGTTCCTTTAACTGATGTTGAATGTAGGTCATTAATCTATAAACCTCTTGATGGAGAATGGGGTACCAATCCCAGGGATGAAGAATGTGAAAGAATTGTTGGAGGAATAAACCAGTTGATGACACTAGGTAAATAATAACAGCACTTGAGTATAGGAAATGTGTCTAAGTTAGATGAGAGCTCAGTCTAGCTAAATTTCAGAGTAAGGGCCCACCTATATCCCAAAGGTATCTGGAAATCTACATTTTACACAAAATGTAGAGCTTTCAGATACTCAAACTGGTGCGAATTAGTAGAAGACTGTTGAAAGTTGAATTTAATTATACGGCTAGCTATGCCAGTTTTATCCAAACTATTACATGTGTAGTGCTGAGACTCGTAAGGGGAGAGAACAGAGAACATGGCAAATATATTGGTTTGCCTGGTTTATAAGAAAAGAAACAGTAACCATAAACTTACTTATCTGAACTCTTGCTCCCAAAAATAACTAGAATAGTATGGTAATTTATAAAAACATCTCTAGTAGTTAGGAATCAACTTCAAGTGTAGGGAGAAATTATTAGTAAAAAGTGAAGACACTGAACATGCAGATAGTAGGATATTCAAATCTAGAGGTTGCCCCCCCCCCCTTATTGTATTGTGGCTCAAACCAAGGACTTTGCACATGGTAGGCAAAGGCTATAAAACTGTTCTGTATTCCCAGCCCTAATGTCTAATAAAATGGTACCAGTATATAAAAGTTACCTTATACTATCTTAAGTAATTGTATCAATATTTTAGGCTTGAGGTAGTTTTAAAAAATGATCTTAACTGTGTTCTAGCTCTGCTACTTTTACACTGTCTTATTTAGTCACAGATTCAGAAACTTCTGGATGATTTTTCTCTTCTCTACCAGCCAATTACTTTGCAGAGTAATGTAATGAAATATGTGGTGATAAGTTTTGAGAAAACGCTAAGATAATGCTTATGTACCATGCTACATTTTTAATGATAAATTGGTTTTGTTAAAAATGTAGTACAATGGTACAAAGAGTCAGGAATTACCAGCTGTCAGTTACGATAGTGTATCTGTGTGTTCTTAGTAGTTCAATTTTATATTTTTCTGTCATTCCTTCACCTTAATCTGTGAATTAAAAAATCCTTAGATTTTTGCAGTGTAAATATCAACATAATAAAAAGCCTGTTTTTGGCAGTGTGTATTTTTCATGACAAGACAGTGGTAGATCAGTGTTTATATAGATTATACTAAATTTTAAGCAAAATACTCATAATTTTTTTAAACGCAAAAAAACAGATTTACAAACTTATTTATTTTAGATATTGCTTCAGCATTTGTGGCCCCTGTGGATCTGCAAGCTTATCCCATGTATTGCACAGTGGTGGCATATCCAACGGATCTAAGTACAATTAAACAAAGACTGGAAAACAGGTTCTACAGGTTAGAGTCATTTGATATTGCTAATACCAAATGAATGCTAAATGATTCTTTGATCCAATTACTGATCTCTGGCAGTGTTCCTCATTCTTTTGTGTACTCAGACGTACATAAGAATCCTATAGGGGTCAAGTTAAAATGTAGGATCTGTGTCAGCAGGTTTGGAGTAAGACCTGGCACCCTGCATTTCTTACAGATTCCCTTCAGTGCTGATGCTGCTCATTTGTGTAATTATGATTTGATACTATTTAAGTTAAGCCTAAGTATTTCATTTCTTCTACAGGATAACTAGATGATTTGGGGTTCTTGGTGGGTTTTTTTCAAGTATCAAAATTGAGTATCTTATTCTTATTTTGCTTATGTTGAGCTCATGAATGCTTGTGAAACTACAATTAGAAAAGATAGTTTCTTATAGTTTTTAGCTTAAGCTATTATAGTTGATTTGCATCTTCTGGGTAACATGTTTCAGTTCACATTAAGTTCCTATTCTTACAGGTTTCCTTAGTACCTAAAATATTTTGCCACAAAAATCTGTTTAAATCTGTATGAAATTGTATTTTTTGTTTTAAATTTCCTTAGATGTCTGTTGAGTAGGCCAACATTTTAATCCATATGTTTGCATCAAAATTTTCTCTGTGTGATCGGCTTTAAATTGTTGCAGTCTTTTGCGTTATTCTTTTTTTTAAATTTTTTATTTATTATTTTTATGTGTATGCGTGTATTGCCTGCGTGTAGGTAAGTACACCTGTGTCGTGCAATGCCTGCGGAGGACAGAAGAGGCCGTCGGATCCCCTGGAACTGGAGTTACGGACAGTTGTTAGCTGCCACGTGGGTGCTGGGATTCGAACCCAGGTCTTCTGCAAGAACAACCAGTGCTCTTAACTGCTGAGCCATCTCTCCAGCCCCTGCATTATTCTTTCTAGCTTAAGGTTTTATTTATATTCTGTACTTAAATTTTTCTGTATAAAAATGACTTTGGTTCTCTTACCAGGGTGTAGCACTGAAAAACAGATAAGAAGTAGATTTTAAAGATTTTTTTTTTCTTGGTATTAGGTAAGAAGAAATTCCCTAAAAGTTCTTAGCTGCCTACCATCAAAGCTTTCAATATCAAATACCAGAAGTAGGAAAAAACAAATTGAGAATAGACCGTAAATTGCTAAAGCTAGGAGAATTTGTTCATCTTACTACAGAAGTAGAACAAAACATGGGAGGATGAGATGGAAAGAGACCCTAGGTGTTGGACTAAAGCCAGAAAAATATGTCATTTCCAGTTGTCAGCAGACTTTCCCTGAGACACATTGCTGAAACAGACACCAATTGCTAATGCGTACTTTCAAGATAGAGTGTGGTTTAAATAGACTTTTGGCATCAGTCTAGCTTTGTAACCAGTTTAGAAAATAAAGAACTTATTGTACATGTGTAAATTAGAAATCATTTGCTTTCCAATATACTTAAAAATCAAAGTTATATTCTTAATGCAATAATATTTTCCTGTGGTATTACAGTTTAATGCTTTTTTTCTCTTATGAGGGTTTTTCTTCCAATGCCGTTCATTTTCTTGTTAAAGTACTCTGTTTTGTCTGCTAGTAATTCAGTGCCTTATTTTATGTAATTAGAATGAACGTTGTGAAATGCACAGAAGTTCCTGTGTAACTACAATTAATTTTTCTCATATGATTGCATCTGTTCCCAAATCAAGATTTATAAATATTAATTGTGCTACAATTCTATGTTCTGAGAAATCTTTAAATATTTCTTTGCTTTCAGTAATAAAGTTATGAAGTACCAGAGTTTTCTTTTAACACTGTCAAATGTTGACAAATAAATCTTACTTAGGTTTCTTATAGACTAATGCACTCATCATGTTTTTATATTTTTATGTCTCATAAACAGACTGTTGGTTAGTAGTCTAATTAAAAATGCATGAAACAAAAATAAAAACTTTTCGTCTTCTGCCATATCTATAGACTGTCCCCCCTCCTAGAAAGCAGCATTGTTACTAGCTTGGTGTTCTTACTCCAGATGTTGTCTATGCAATATATTTGGGGTTTATTCCTCTTAATGCAAATAGGATTTCATTTGCTTTGCTTTCTTTTCCTTTTATTTTTGAAATGGCTTTTTACAATCTGAATAATGTGATTGGTTTAACCAAAATTGAAGTGTCAGAAAGTCTTTTTAACTTAGGCACACATTTTTCTAAATATGATGTTAAAATTTTTATGTTTTTTTAAGGCGAGTTTCATCCCTCATGTGGGAAGTTCGGTATATAGAACATAATACACGAACGTTTAATGAACCAGGAAGTCCAATTGTGAAATCTGCTAAATTTGTGACTGATCTTCTTCTGCATTTTATAAAGTGAGTTATACATTTATGCCTGCATTTTAATAGCTATAATAATATTTTTGTAAAATGTAAAACACAGCCATCTTTTCCATATGTTTCATATTCTGTTAAAATAGAAAGTCTGTGTGTAAAGAAAAAAATCCACTTCAAACATTTAGTCATAAAATCATATTTATATTACTTACATATTGTGGAAAATAGATTATTTTCCTAATCAAATTTTGGATACTCACAGTAAAGATTTATCAAACATGAAATGTTTTCCCTTCTATGTCAAATGTAAGCTTATAGATAATTATCTGTTGTTTCCAATAGGGGAAACTAAGGCTTTGGAAGATTACCTTCACCAAGGTTCTACATTAAATGAATGCTTACCATTTGATTTGAAAAATTTCCATTTTAATATTATAATTAATGACCCTATCAATTTTCTGAACAAAAACTAGGAAGTGCATCCTGGTACTAAATTTTAAACTTTTTTTTTTTTTTTTTTTTTTTTTTAGACAGTGTCCCTGTAGCCTCAGCTGACCTGGAACTCACTGTATAGATCAGATTGGCCTCAGTCTCCCAGAGATCCACCTGCCTCTGCCTCCCACATGCTGGGATTAAAGGTGTATGCCACCATACCCAGCACAATAAATTTTAAACTTTAAAAACATTTCTTTTGCAAGATTTTTCATTACCCTAGCTGCTTGGGTGCAAGGAATTGAACTTTCTGACTTGAAGCCAGAAACATAAAATTCAAAAGATTGGTCCAGTTTTAATGTTATTATTTATGTAAGGTTTTTTGTGTTCTTTTTTCCTTTGTTAGAAACAAGTCGTGGGGGGCTGGAGAGATGGCAGATGGCTTGGTGGTTAAGAGCACTGATTGCTCTTGTGGTGGACCTGGACCTGGCTGGGTTAGATTCTCAGCACCCACATGAGGGCAAACAGCTGACCAAAACTCAAATTCCAGGGGATCTTATACCCTCTTATGACTTCCACTGGCATTGCCTGCACATGTTCAGTTAAATACTCAGGCAAAAAACATTCATACACATAAAATTAAATTTAAAAAAATCAGCAGAATGCTTTTTAAAAATATTTTATTTATTTTTATTTTATGTATATGAGTGTATTGCGTGCATGTATGTGAGGGCACCTGTGTCGTGCAGTGCCCACGGAGGTCAGAAGAGGGCTTAGGATTCCCTTGGAACTGGAGTTAAGGACAGTTCATAGCTGCCATGTGGGTGCTGGGAATCGAACCTGGGTCCTCTACCAGAGCAGTCAGTTCTCTTAACTGCTGAACCATCTCTCCAGCCCCCAGAATACTTTTTAAAAATTTTTTTTTAAATATTATTTTGGGCTGATGAGATGGCTCAGCGGTTAAGAACACTGGTTCTTGCAACAGACTTGGTTTTCTATCCCGTCATCCACATGGCACCTAACAACTGTCCATAACTCCAGTCCCAGGGGATCCGACAGGCTCTTCTGTCCTCCATGGGCATTGTATGACACAGGTGCATTTACCTACATGCAGGCAATACACACATGCACATAGAATAAAAACAATACTTCAAAACAAATTTTTTAAAAAAGATTTTACTAATTTTGTGTGTATGAGTGTATTGCCTGCATGTGTGTAAGTACACTTATGTCATGCAGTGCTCGAGGAGGTCAGAAGAAGGCATCAGATTCCCTGGAAGTATAGTTATGGACAGTTGTTAACCACCATATAGGTGCTGGGAATTGAACCCAGGTCCTCTGCAAGAATAGTCAGTGCTCTTAACCAGGGAGCAGAATGCATTTAAAGCATACTCAGCTACTACCAGCTTTTATTTTTGTACAATAAAGCAATTATTCAGGCTTTTAAATTTTTCCTTCAGGGCATAATCTAAATAACCCCTTTCCTGAAATCAGTGGTAGTTTTTGCTAAGGGTTGCCGTTTCAGTACAGGGCAACACCAAACAAAATTACTAAGATAAAGCCATTATGGTGGTACTACATCACAAGACCCCTTTCAAAAATATCCTGTGGCTGGTGATAGTAGCACATGCCTTTAATCCCTGTACTGGAGAGGCAGTGGCAGGTGGGTTGCTGTGTGTTCTATGCCAGCCTGGTCTACATAGTGAGTTCCAGAGCATTCAGGGTTCCATAATGAGACCCTGTCCAAAGAAAGAGAAAAAAGTCTCCTGTGTGCTTTCTCTTCTCTTTAAGTGGTTTGAGTGTTTTTACTGGTATGCTTTTGCTTTTCTTCAGTGAAGTTAGTAGTCATGCATTATTTGCCTCAGAGAGCTCCTAATTATGTGTTTTCTGTGACATCTCTTACAATCAGTTTATAGAATTAAATTCATTTTAAAATAGAGTAGAAGAAAAATAGTTCTTATTTGGGCTAGTCTGTGAAAACACCTTAATTCAAATAATTACTTTGAGATTGGAAGTGTAGATTAGTGATCAAGCACTGTCTTTGCATGTGTAAGGACTCATATAAAATGTTACTTTTGAAGTGCACGTTAATGTATGCTTAATGAATTGATATTACACATCTCTAAAAGCAAGTCTCTGGCTTTTTAGATATACATAAAAATTTGTTGCTGATAGTTAAGATGTAAAATATACCTTGAAATTTTGATTATTGTGCCTTTTTAATTTTTAAAAGTATTTTTTATATACTTTTTATTTTATGTATATGACTATATTACTTGCACGTGTGTAAGTGCACTCACGTCATGCAGTACAGGACATGGGTACCCATGGAGGTCAGAAAAGGGTGTTGGAATCCCCTGGAACTGGAGTTATGCATGATTGTTAATGTCATGTGGGTGTTGGTCCAGGTCCTCTGCAAGAGCAGCCAGTGCTGAGAACCACTGAGCCATCTCACCAACCCCTTCTTAAAATTATTTATTTTTATTTGATGTATATGGGGTATTTTGCCTGCATTGTATGTGTGCTGGTGTCATGCAATACCTGAAAAGGCCAAAATAGGGTGCCAGATCCCTTGAATTGGAGTTACGGGTGGTTGTTACCTGACATGGATGCTAGGAACGGAACCCTGGTCCTCTGCAACAGCAAGTACCACTGAACCGTCTCTAGCTCCCCTATTGTGCCTTTTCAGTTGAACCATTTGGCTGGTTTTTCAGGTAACAGATAAATATATGGACACAAATAAGTGCTTGGAAATAAAAATTATACCTTGTAACACAGTTTCATGGGAGAAATAAGAAGTTACTATAATATAGGGAAAATAGAGTAATAAGAGACTTACAAAAGATACAAGGATGGGAGAAGGTCAGATACACTGTAGAGGTATGTTAAGGTCATGGATAAGGTCACTGATGAAATCAGGAGTTGTTAGCTAAGGGAATAGCATTAGGTGAGAAAGTTATTAAAATAAGTTGATAGGGAGCTAGAGAGATGGGTTCACTTCCCAGCACCCACATGGCAACTAACAACCAGTTCCAGGTGATCCAGCAAAACAGTGAGAATTGAGTATTCTATAATGAAATAAACTAATGATAGAGGACACCAGTCATATGTGTGTGAATAAAGTACTATAGTTAACAAGTGGAGAAAGTGTTGAGCTTCAAGTTCTGTTTTTAAAAATATTTTCTTTGCTATTATTTTAAGTGTACCCATATCATGTAATGCCTAGGGAGGTCAGAAGAGGGCATTGGATCCCCTGGAATTGGAGTTAGCTGCCATGTGGGTGCTGGAAACTGAACCCGGGTCTTCTGCAATAGCAGCCAGTGCTCTTAACCACTGAGCCATGTCTCCAGTCCCTCAAGTTTCATCTTAGAATCTGGGTTTAGAAATATTTTTTTAAAGAAAAAAAATTTCACCTTTCTAATTATATATTAACATTTTCTCTTGTTATTCAGGGATCAGACTTGTTATAACATAATTCCACTTTACAATTCAATGAAGAAGAAAGTTTTGTCTGACTCTGAGGTATGTAATACTTCACTGGTTACTTACTACATTAATATTTTTATTTATTGTGTATAAAATTTCCATATAATTTTCAGATTAAAGCTGTTATGGAAGTTATTTTTGCCCAATATTATAGTTAACTATCACATTTAGAATTTATTGGTTAAAGTTACCACAAAAAGAAAAACAATCTTTAATGTCTCAAGACATTAACAAATTGTTGGGGTGCCCTAGGGTATACATTATGAGTTTTCCCAAGTGTAAAGGAGTTAACTTTTAACAAATTATTTAGTATTAGATCTAGAATGTTTCATAAATTGGATATACCGTTGCCTCAAAGGAAGAAGATAAAGATGCAGATGTACCTGGAACGTCTACCCGAAAAAGAAAGGTAATACCATTTCAGTTTTGTTAGCTATTATTTTTGCAGAGCAGAAGTACTTTTTTAGATAAAACTGTATTGAGAGCTTTTTGTTTTTTTAATTCTTAGTATCATTAAAAGTGGCCAAAGTATTTAAATCATTTTTAATTGTAAAATGTTTATTTTTTCTGAGTTAGGTGAACATCTTATTTGAATTACTATATTATATGAGTTGAGCATCCCTAATCTGAAAATGTGAAATTCAGAATTCCCCTAAAATCTGAAGGTTTTGAGCACTGACACTCAAAAACTATGGTGGCTAGAGACATGCATGGCTCCATGGTTAAGAGCACATACTATTTTTCCAGAGGACTTGGGTTCGATTCCCAGTACCCATGTGGCAGCTAACAACCTTCCTCAGTTGCAGTTCTGAGGGATCTAACACTTCTTCCAGACCTTCCTGACCATCAGGCGTGCACATGGTACACTTACAGGCACAAGTATCATACAAAGAAAATAAAAATTAAATATTTTTTTGAAACTTCAGATATGAAAAACTTGTCATGCCAAACATTTTAGGTCAAAAATACCTAACTCTGTACCTACTTACATAATATTGTAGAAAGCACGATTAGGGCTGGTGTGATAGCTCAATCAGGAAAGCACTTGCTCTGCAGGCATGAGGACTTGAGTTTAAGCCTCAGCGCCCACATAATAAACCAGCCATGGTGGAGCACTTCTGTTTATTATTATTATTTTTTATGTGTATGAGTGTATGTATATGAGTGTACCCATGTCGTGCATTGCCGCAGAGGTCAGAAGAGGGCTCAAATTCCCCTCGAACTGGAGTTAAGGATGGTTCATGGGTGCTGGGAATCGAACCCAGGTCCTCTGCAAGAACAGTCAGTGCTCTTAACCACTGAGCCATCTCTCCAGCCCTGGTGGAGCACTTTTGTAATCCCACTGCTGTGAAAATGAAGACAGGAGGATCCTTTGAACTCGTTGGCCACTGAGCCTTATGTCCTGTTGAGCAACCCTGGCAAAAAACAAGGTTGATTGCTTGTGAGACGTGAAACCAGAGATTGACCTCTGGCCTTCACACTTATGCATACACACACCAAAACCACAAATAAATAAAAGGAATTGTACTGTCTTGAGAGCTCCTTATTAATGTACTTGTATGTTTTTATTTCAGGATCATCAACCTAGAAGAAAG